ACAGGCTGGGTGATGTCTATGGCATAAGCGAACAAAAAAAAAATCCTACTTACAAATTTGTGCTACTGCCCTGCTTTCAAATGTATAGATTTGATGTCATTTTCCAATCCTTATCATCCCTATGGACAGTTGAAAAAAAACTAAGGAAACTGGGTCAAACAAATTTGTTTTCAAAACTACAAAAATGATCATGGTCAAACCAGTTTTGCTCTCAATAATGAACAGAATCAGATTTCTCATCTGTTCAAAATAATGTATTTAATAGACTTATTATCTCCCATGGTACAATTAAAACAAAACAAAAACCACTTTTGAGTATAATTGGGTTTGTAAATTTCTAAGTCAAGTTGAAATTCTGCCAAAACTTTACTTCTATCACATTTATAGGTAACATAGCTGAAAAAATTAACAAATACCTTTTCTTTCTCCACAGATTCCAGGATATTTGAGTTTCTTTTTTCCTCTGCCTTTAGAAATAGTCAAAATTACCAAACTTTTTTCATTGTAAAGGCTAGACTCCCCAAATGGGGATAGGAGGTGAGATGGGATCATACATACACATACACACATCCATACATACACTCACCCCTTTCCCTAGTAGTAGGGATGGGGGAAGGGAGACTTAAGTATATTATTTAGAATATTTGGCATAATTAAAAATAAGGGGTGGGAAGGGGGGGAGGAAAAACATTATTAATGATTGCTGATAACCAAAATATAATTAAAATATAGAGAGAATTTTATTCATATTTGATGGGAGACCAATTATTTTCACTATGAATAGATACTTTTGAAAGTATCACAGGCTTAAGTTCTTTAATCAAAAATGGGAGTGGGGCCCAATGCCTCAAATTCAAATATTCTAAAATACAAAGGCCCATGTCTGAGGACTAAGAAGTCAACAGACAAAATGTTCAGATGAACTTTAATGGAATTTTCCAATAGCATGTCAGTGAGCCTAGCAAATCTAATTGGACACACTGGTATAAAAAGCCATCAATGCCAAAATGGCTAGAAGGTTCTTTTTCTAATCAATGTTTGCCCCTGAGGGCAAGGCCAGACCAAAACCCAGAGAATAATAAAGAAATACACACACCGGATATCTACCTATTTCATAACAGGGGAAAATAGTCTTCATGTAAGTATCTGAAGAGGGTTCTTCTTTCATTTCTTTATAAAGTTTTTTTTTTTTTTATTAGTGCACCTTTCTCTTACAAGTAGTTTTTATTTTTTAATATAAGAACTTGGCATTGAAACACAAAACTTCACTTGAGTTCTGAAAACTATTCTCAAAGATGCTGAAGCATGTTTGCCTTTTCTTTGTAAAGGGGCCCTAATCTATGTTTCACAAAGGCCTACGTCTGTGCAGAGATTTTATATGAATGTGTAGGTTTTTAAAACACCTTATATGCTGGTATTCACATAGAAATGGAAGCCAGAATGAGAAGCCTCCCAAGTTATCCCACCCTGAAAGCCTTTCCATTTTCCATTTCCTGTTTATAATAAGGCAAAATTCTTGCCATGAAGTCATTTACCCCTTTTACCAAAAATAAAACCAAAATCAAATCTCTCCAGAGGAAACTCCCTAAAAGAATTGGCAGGATATACATGCTGAGATGTGTATATGTCAATACTGTTCTTTCTCATGGTCTGCTCTTTTAAAATTATTTTTTAAAAAAGGTCTCAGATATTGATAGATCTTCAGAAAAATATCCACCCTAAACTAAGTTACATTTCCATGTATTTCCATGTATATTCCATGTATTTCTTTTGACAATATTACAATGCTCTGTTTCAAAGGTTTTGTTTTGTTTTTTGTTTTTTTGACAAAAATATATGTGTAAACAGTATGGTAACTGCTCTTACTAGCCCTCTAGGTATGGAGGCATCATCTCTAACCCCAGCTCAGCAGCAAGTCCTAGGCTGTCTGCACTTATAAATCAACTTCACCATCAGAACGTGATTTAAAAAAAAAAACAAAACATTTTAGAATTGAAAAGTTACAGAGAACATATAGGAGTTTGAATTTCCTTTCGTTTATTTCAAAAAAAAAAAAGTAAAGAATTATCCCAGGTTCTTGGGCATCTCAACGATTAATTTTTTTTCCAAACAAATGCCTCAAAAAGAGAAAAAGACAGAGAGAGAGAGAGAGAGAGACAGAGAGAGAGAGAATGAGAAACTCTTTAAAGATGTGGTAAAAAAGGGAAGAGATGGGGTAAATCTACCTACATGCCCAAGAATGCCTCTTTCTACAACCTGCGTCCTGTGCAGGGAGAGGGGCATGTCTTTTTGTCAAAGCAGAACAAACTTCATGGATGAGTAATTTATTTGGAAAAAAGGTATGTTCAAGATGCTCAATGGGGAAAAAAGTTCACTTGAAAGCAAAAATGTGAGATGGTGGAGAGGAAGGAAACATTTATTTAAATCAGCCAGTCACTCTGTTTCCCTTATTGCAAAAGCCTAAGAATATCTCAAATTTTGTGAACACTATTATCTTTAAATGAAAACAAAACGGAAAAAAAAAAAAAGCAAAAAACAAAAAATAAAAAAAATTCAAAAGGAATCATAAAAAAAATCCCCAAATTTAAAAAAAACCTAAAGAGAGCCTCTCCTGAGCCATCTCAAAATTGAAACTGTTCTCCTTTTCTTCTGCTCAAGAAATGCAGGCAAATGAACTATTAAAACATTTACTTTTCAATTTAATGACCCTCTCCACATTCTCTACTTATTATCTACTAGGTAGAGTTGAACTGTTCTGGCTGTAGCCCATCCAGGGGGAACTGGTGCCAACATCATTTTATAAGTCGCCTGCTAGTAGCAAGTGAGCAAGGAATACAACAGACAGCTTTGCGGTAGCCAAATGCAGATGATTACCTCGCTCTGGCAAATGATTTCATTAATGTTTCAGAGGACTGGATGGAAGGATGAATAGGGAAGGAATCTTTCAGGACACTGAAGTCTCTGGGTTAGTAAGGAACTCCTCTCCCTCTTCCCCCTCTTGGCGGGACTCTTGTAGGTCCCCGATAGAGTTTTCCATAAGCAGAAGACTGAGCTGGGCCCCCCCAGTTTAGGCCTGTTCCTGAACTGCTGGCCCCAGTGGTTCCTGGCCCCAGCTCCCCATAGTTCTGCAATTTGGTCTCTGCATGTACCACAGAGTTGCTGCTTCCCTCAGCCTTCAGGAATGGTTGCCCGACCACTGAGTGTAATGCTAAGGGGACCCTGGCAAAACGGAGGTCCTGGTCCCCTGGGAACTGCACTGACCCTGTGCCCTGGTAACTGCTGGACTCCCCAAGGTGGCTCACAGAGCCTGAGAAGGTCCTGTTCTTCACCAGGGTCTGGGTCAAGGATTCTGTCAAAGCTGGACCAGAGTTGCGTTCATCAGTGTCAGTGGCACTGAACCCTGTTTCAGGCCCATCAGTGTTTCCGTAAGTCCTGTTGGGATGGGGTCGGGTGGAGTACTCCATTGGTCTCAAGGCCTGGTGCTCATGTGGCAGGTGGCCAGGAGGCTCTGCTTCAGGCTGGGATAAAAGTTGCAGCAAGGCGGCTGTCACGGCTGGGTTCAACTCCTGGGGGGCGCTGGAAAGATCGCCTTCAACCAGAGGGGGTGGAGGTGGCGGCGGTGGAGGTCCGGGGGGCTCAGGGGGCCTCTTCTCTGGTGGAAGAATGTGAGGAGGACATGCTGTGGAAGGGTTACTTCTTTTAAACACCATCTTAAAAATCACATGTGATTATAAACACAAACACACACACACATACACACACGCTGCCCAACATAAACAAATAGCAATACAAGTAACCAAATATATATAAAGAATAAAATCTTGGGATCAGGAAATTGCAATTTATAAATAAAATCAATTGGTTAAAATAAAACAGTTGCATTCTGAATCTAACAGCTGGTATAAAAAAGATCATATGTTTTCAAATGATTGTCCTGATTTTTGTCTGAGATTTCCTCCATTTCCTTCCTTAAGGAACTGTTCTAATATGTAGGCTGTAGGCAGCCTCCCCGCCCCTTTTTGCTGTTGGATCAAAACATTAATGAAAATAAAGTAGAAAGAAGGAAGATGAGAGGAAACAATACACATGCTGTGGTCACATTTCTAGCACAAAATCTTGCTGTACAACAGGAGACCTTGCATGGACTTAGCTAATGCATTTTACAGAACATTTGATGATATAAGGTTAACACCTGAAATAGAATTTAAAGAATATACAAGAGAGATGAAATAAAAACCTTTCATTACCGTCATGTATAAATATACACTTGCTTCTCCAAACTTCAGTCCCCTCTCCCCATAATCACATTCTGAAGAAAGGGATTAACCACCATTCTGTCATTCAGTTTCCTGTTACAATAATTATAAAGACTAAAGTAATCTATCATAATTTTCTATTTTGTTTTCCAACCTCCTGCATTTTTTCCATGCTATGAAAAAAATCACTACAGCAATGTCATGCAGAATGGGCTGCTGATAAACATGTTTATCTTGGAGACGGTGACAAAACTAAGTATTTAGAAATGTACTGAACTTATACTACACTATGTCTTTCCAAGGATCTTTTGTCTTTCTTGAACCACTCCCCACACACCCCCACCTGCTGGCTAAATTTGCCTAAGCATGGCAATCACTGTATGGTAACTACTGCCAAGGCAGGAGAGTAGGGATGTAAAACGGCGTGAGTTTGAGAACATACAAAACCAAGTACAATCAGAACAGTGCTTTTTAAGAGTTGGGAGTTACTCTGCTGAAGAAAAGGTTTCATGTTTTGGGATATCTTCCAAATGACTGATGTTTCTGTTCCCTATGGAACCATATTTTTAAATATCCATATAGTTAATTCTTTATTATCTGAGCTAGTGATATGAAAGTCATTACTCAGACAAGCCAAAATAATTTTTAGTTATAAAGTAGTTTGGTAGCATATTTACCACAATTATATTTTGCAAAGACAATCAGTAAAGTATGTATTTACTTAGCATGCAGATGAAAGCAGTCTGAAAACATAATATTATAACATTGTGTTGTGGAAGGATGAGGTCAGGTGCTATATGTAACATACAAGTGGGTGGCCAACAGTCCCAATTTGCCTGGGACTGAGTGGGTTTTCAGGTTGCCGACTTTCAGTTTTAAAACCAGGACGGAACTGAGATGAGTTGGACACCCTGTATACAGTACCCACCCAAGTTGCTTGTTGACAGATTGACTGGTTAACTAACATGCTGAAAAAGGAGAGCTAACTGGACTACAAACTCCTATAGATTTCAGAGTTTATTGCTGTCAATAGTATGTTTCTCACTACATAAGAATATCTCAGTACCAGTTATATTTAAATGTATTTTTGGACTATACATAAAATAAAACACTATGGTTATTTTTTTTTAAATATTGATGGCAAACAACTTTAAAAATGCCTAACTGTAAAAGTGATCAAAGCTAAACTTACTCTTTCAGCTATACTACTTTTCATATTTAAACTTTGCCTTTTAGTCTAGCTGTATTTCAATAGAACTACTTCTTGAGCTCAAATTCACACGTATGAGAGGATGAGAACTATCTCAAAGTAGAAAAGCAGACAGACTGTAAATGACTACTGAAGTAAATAAAACTTCTTAAAGGAGTTAAAAGATCACATTTTAAAAATCACACTATTGTAAGATCTAGTGCAAACAATATTGCCAATTCTTAACAGTCTGTACTATTGGAGGGAGGTATTAAAGAAATGTACAAATATAACTTAAAATTTTCAATTGACTCATTAGATTTCAACCATAACCCTTTCCCCATACAAGTAAAGAGTAGCTAAAGTGATAGATTTTCACCTTCTCTGGCTTATTCAGTCTGCCCTCTGGTGGAAGTGCTAATGAATAATAAAATGGCCAAGTGTGAGGCAGCCGGGGAGCAACAAGAAGAGGAGACATAGAACTGGATAATCCAGGGGTGACTAATAATTAGGAGTGGTATTTTTACTCTTCCCTAAAAAGCAAATCCAACAATTTCTGGCCACAGGCCAGGTCTTAATTTTAGTTCAATCTCACCCTTGTTGGCTCAATTATTGGGTGAATTTCTTTCAATCACTATACTATTTAATTTGAATGACTTCTTTAACGTATTTTGATTATAGCTGAATTCTGCTGGGGTGGGGAAGAAGAAGAGGGTGTGGGAGATGAGACAATGAGGCCTGCTTTAACTCTAGATTAGCTTTCTCTGTTATTCCATGTCCTAGAGTCTCTTAAAAGCAATTGGAATCAGTTATGACAGAGTAACAAAATGAATTAAAAAACACATTAAAAAGAAACATATTAAGAAAAGTACACAGGTTCTATTCTGCCTCTTCCAATAATATGGTTTCAGCTGAGACCATAGGCAGGCTTATTTAACCTCCCTGGATTGCAGTTTCCCTATTTGTAAAGTAAAGGGGTTAATTTTATTTATGTTACCTTCCAGTTTTAAAAAGACTTACATATGAAAAATAGCTTATGTATTTGTATACCAGTGAAAATAAGGCATATACTTTCTGCACCATCCTGTATGAAATGTGAATGTAGGACGACCTAAAGTTGAAGGTTAGTGTACCTCATCAGCCCTCGTGCCTCTTCTTATTCCCCAATTCATGGGGTCTTCATGGACAGCGAAAATATCCAAGGAGTTGAAAACACTTTCAGATAAGTAAACATTTTGCAAACCAGACTGTAAATCAGAATTAGAAAATTTAAACTTTTCTTTCCTCTAATAAAATTGCATGCTGTGGTCATGTCAGGTCAAGGTATAACATATTTATTTCCTTTGTTCAGATTTTTCTTTATGTAATGCTCACTTCCTAATTTGCGGTCCATTCAATTGTCTTTCAGGAGCACAGATTTTTAAAAAGCATTTTTATATGCTATTATTTTTTGGAATGGAATGTGTGGTGTTACACTTATCTACCAAGATTTCCAAATTATTCTTCAGGAGATTAACAATGGCATTTTATTAGAGTTTTCTTGACTATATCTTTCAGGCAAGACTGGTATCCCGTATCCACTACACTAGAGTAAAATCGACTATCTGTGCAATCTGATGATGGTTTATTTGGAATGCAGATTTTCAAGTGCTAGTACTAGTTGGCCACTATTCACACAGTAGTTCAAGATGTATCACTAGCTATGATTGTGGTTTCTTTGAGTTAGAACACAGAGGCTTTACTTACCTACCTCCTAGAAAATGGAAAAACCATCAGTATATGGAAGGTGCTTTGAGAAGCTTTGAGACTTAAATAGAAGCTGGGCAAGAAATACATCATTGGGTGCTATGTTCTCCTGTAGACTAGGTTACAGAAAACTGAAACTGAGGCCATTGATGTGAAAAAGAAAATGTTAAAGAGATTTTTAAGAGGATCAACAGCACCTGAGCTCAATGAGATTCATGACCGGTCTGTTTACCTGCTGCCTCCTCCTGTGGCATTGTGGGAGTTCTTCGGGGCCCCTGTGGCCCACTGTTCTTGTCACTGTTGTTTTCCTCCAGGCTGCCTGCTGGCTCCTGGGTTTTCATCAGCTGACTCAAAAGAACTGCCAACATATTCTGCATGTCAGCTGGTGTGCTTGAAGCCTCAGAGGTTGTCTGTTCTGCTGAAGGCTGGACCACTAGGGCAGGAGGGGCCTCCTTCAAAGACTCCTCTGGGGCCATGGGCTCTGAGTCCTGCTGCTGGGAAGTGGCTTCCGTTAGGGCACTGATGGACTGGTTCAGGGCCTCCAGCTGCTGCTGCATCTCTGGGTTGGAGTGGATGTTAAGCAGCTGTGCCATTTGAGGGATGCTTAGGTCGGTTTGGCTCTGCAGCAGATTCAGTAACACTGCCAATTCACTTTGATTCAACTGCTGTGTGATGTCACCGAGGCCTGTGGAGGAGAGACAGTGGAGCCAAAATAAGAGGATGAGGCAGGGTAAGGACCTTTGCCTTCTTCAACTGGCAAGAGCAAATTACAATATTCAGTATATGAAGCTTCATTTTGAATGTCTCATTTTTCATGCCTCACATTGTCATGACAGTTTTTCTTTAGATTTTCACTGAAAAATACAGGAACAAACTAAAACATCCCAGTATTGTGAGTAAAAGTGATTTCATTTTATCTGTATTCTTCAATGTCAGTGACTTACAACCCTTATTGTACATTAGAATTACTAGGAGAGATTGTAAAGTTCAGGTGCTTCAGTTCCCATTCCCAGATATCTGGCAATTAATTGTTCAGGAGTGTTTATTTTTATCTTTTTTAATTTTTTTTAACGTTTTATTTATTTTTGAGACAGGGAGAGACAGAGCATGAACAGGGGAGGGTCAGAGAGAGGGAGACACAGAATCCGAAACAGGCTCCAGGCTCTGAGTTGTCAGCACAGAGCCCAACGTGGGGCTCGAACTCACAGACTGAGAGATCATGACCTGAGCTGAAGTCGGCCGCTTACCCAACTGAGCCACCCAGGCGCCCCAGGAGTGTTTATTTTTAAAGCTTCCTACATGATTCTAAAGTGCAGCCAGTGTTGAAAACCACTGTTGTAGGTGAACAGGGAAGGGCAAGTGAGTCTCAGAAAGAATACCTGTAGTTCAGAAAAATTGATGGTACCACAGAACTACTTTATTATTATAATAGTTCACTATTACACAGTTTTGGATATATTTAGATCAAATATGTTCCATAGATCAGTTCCATCTATGGAACTAACTACATTTAACGACAATTGTGGTTTAAATGATCAGATTCTGGGGCACCTAGGTGGCTCAGTCAGTTAAGTGTCCGACTTTGGCTCAGGTCACGAACTTGCGGTTTGTGAGTTGGAGCCCCACGTCGGGCTCTGTGCTGATAGCTCAGAGCCTGGACCCTGCTTCGGATTCTGTGTCTCCCTCTCTCTGTTCCTGCCCCACCTCACATTCTGTCTCTCTCTCTCTCTCGAAAATGAATA